TCACTGGATCGCCGTTTGGGTTTCTTTTCCACGATTCAGGGTATCGGGAATCGTTTCTACATGTAACAAAAGCACATCTTTTAGTCGTGACCATTCTGTTAGAACACTACTTGTCGAACTCGTGTGGTTGACTAGAATGTCCTAACTTTCCCGGTTTGTTTACATCATAAGCCACGTGACACTACACGTGAAATCTAACGCCGAAAAGGTGAATTGTATAAACAACTAATTGTCTCTGGGACTGAACTTCATAATTTCCTCACTTATAGACCCTCGGCTACTCTCAGAACATATACACAACATATAAGAAGGTTTCTCCATCGTATCCGGTTTTGGGCCAAGTTCAATACACTTGCTAGTTCTTCTCTACTACTCCCTCGGTCTTGCCCTTGGCATTGAATCCAAGGATTCCACAAGCTTGAGGACCAAAATGTTTCTCCGTCAACTCAAAATTAGTCTCCTCCGCAGCCGTTATTAGGGTCGTCACGCAACGCTTCTCCCCCACTAACTCTAAATAAAGGGAAACAAATGGGGTTCGGATTTAAGCAGCCGTTAGTGGGGGAGAAGCGTTGCGTCACGACCCTAATAACGGCTGCGGAGGAGACTAACTCAAAAGCTGCCCAAACAGTTTTCCATTCGACTTGTTAGAAAGCACTAGCAAATGGCTTTCTCCGAGATGTTCTTTAAAACAGCCGCTTGGATGAGGCACAATGCTTTCGGAGCCTTCTGTTTTCCAGATGGCCCAAGTTCACTTAGGCTCAAGTCAAGACACTGAAAGCAACCCTGCCCAGCCAAGACAGATCGTTTACGTAACACAGTGGGGTACCCTCTACACCCCCGACCCCAAGGGCTGCGCGTTATCCCAAAATATACTTACCGACAGTCAATTTAGAAGTGTCTTGTTGCCATTCTCGTTTTACCCGCAGATGGTCTTGCTCCTACAAGGCACAAATCAACACTTTTCCATGCGATAAAGTGGCTTCCACTTGAGTGTCGAAAAGTAATTGGTTTTGCATTACAACGCACACGATTGGTTAAAAAAAACTCACGTCAATTTTTGACACAATCAGAAAACCAAAACCAATCGCAACTTGCTCCCACGCGTTTTTCTACGTCAGAAAACGTGTATTTTCTTTGAGTTTTGATTCGTTCTTTCGTTGATTGGTTCGTCTGTGTCTTTTGTGATTGGCCAGCGAGATTACTTTGGTATTTGGTTTTACGACACTCAAATGACAATCACTCTGTTTTTTACAACAATAAACTGATGCTCTCTTTCCCTGCTTGGTTTGGGCTGTATGAGTTTTACCTGTTTTATCTCTCTGATGTTGAAGATCACAACTAGCAAACGGGAGCGCAAAAATCTTCACAGTTATGATTCAGACAAGATTTTGTTTTGACATCACGCTAGAGTTTCCATCCACACGAAGAGGAAACTCTGTTTGGAAAGCGTTTACCAAAAGACGGGTCTTAAAAATTTAATACAGGGAATCACACTTTTTTATCGATTACCCAGGCTCAGAAGCCTTAGACCTGAGAACAGAAAACCACTTTACTATGAAAGCTGATGTGTGTTATAACGTGTGGCCGAATGTAGTCATTGTTTTGCCACCGTTGTCTGATTAAAGAAAAAAAGGAATAGTACCTTGTTTGACAGAATCAGTGAAAACTTTTTCCTCTCATCTTGCAGTTCAGTGAGATTCTATAAAATCAAAGAGATGAACACGTCTTATAGGCTTTCTCTGAAGAAACAAAAAACTCACAAATGAAGAAGCTTTAATCGCTTATTTCGGAGTTGCCTTAAAAGGCGAGGCCTGGTGCACAACCATTCATATGAAAATGAAATTAATTTTCATATGAATGAGATCTCATTTTCATATGAAAGGATGGGCACCGAAACTCGTTTTGAGAACGAGACTAAAGGTAATATGGCTGCTCAGTAACTTTCCATCGGTCCAGATTTTCACTAGAAAACATCTTATGTTTGCAGGTAAAACGGGAGACGTCTCATGCTTTGCCGTATGTGTAGCCTCCAACCTCTCTCCTCCGCAGAGGGTCTTAAGGGAGGAGGAAATGGACATGGGAGTGAGAGGACGCCGGGGTTCGGGAGACGCCCAGAAGGGCCCCAGAAAGGCTCTTTCTTTTCCCTTCCCAGTGTTCCCCGCGTACGTTCTTTGTTCTCTGTCCCCAGTCTCCGAACTACCAGCATACACGGTCAGGGCAGAACGAAAGAGGCCTCTGTGGAAGAGAGAGACGCTTTGTCAGCTCGTCACGACATCTTTCCTACCCCACAAGGAGACTTGAATCATGATCATTTGTAAGTAATAATAACGACTGTAAAAAGGCGGTTCATGTTCTAACCTGAGCCAGCTTATCTCGTTCCCTCAGTATCTGCTCCTTGCTGTCTTTTTCTTCTGTCAGTTGCTTTTGCAGGACAGTGTTTACAGACCTACAAGCTGCCACTAATGAAACACAGCAAAGATTACACATGACGGTGAAGAAACCCTTGATTGTGGAAATTAATCACGTACTTTGTTGAGCTCGGTAATTAGTAAAAATAGCATCCAAAGTGTTCTTACCAATCAGCTAAATCACGTTATTTTTCAACCAATCAGATTCGTGTCTTGGCTTACGCGTGTTTCCGCCCTTGCCGCTTGCCGGCAGCATGTTTTCCCGAGTTAGGCTACTTTGACCTTTGATTGGCTCGTTAGAGCGTTATTCACTTAATTGTCGAAAGTAATTTGCACTTGCTTTGGTTTTGCATTTACTACGCTAAGCGATTGGCTTAAAAATTTTGCGTCCCTTTGTCATTCAATGAGAAGTAAAACCAAAACCAATCGTGACTCCCTCGCACACGATTTCCCGCGCTTCGCGTCAGCTACATGTCTTTACTTGGAGTTTTGATTGGTTCATTAGATTGTCGACGTCTTTTGTGATTGGCTAATGTGATTACGTTTTCCCGCGCTTTGTACCGTCAACCCGTATTTGATTTGAGTTTGGATTGGTTCAATGGATTCCCTGTGTCCTTGTGATTGGCCAACGGATTAGTTTTGGTTTGACACTAAATTGAACTACCCTTTCGGTGAGACATGGTTACTTTTAGATAAAACTTACATTCAAAAGTTAAATCCGTCTTTCTGGGGGATTTGTCGACATGTTTCTTCAAAGATCCTTCTTTGAGCTTTTGATGAGCAATCAGGAGCTTTCTAAAATTTGAAAACAAAAGGAACAGCTGTATCTTTTTTCAAGATGCCAAGTTCTCCTGAGCGTTATAATCTTTCTAGGCCACTCGAGACACTTGGTTCTATATCATTCAAACATTTATTTGAGGCAAAAGCGAAACGAGTATAAAAACGCAAATTCTTAAAACAAGGGACATTACTCGAGTGATATTCTCGTCCTAGCAAGTTTTAGCTGGTGACATTATCAGACAAATCACGCTCCAGAAAGTGTATTTGCTGGTTTATCAAGCAAATAACAGAGCCAAAGTCATCTATTACACGACGAATGAAATTTGAGAACAGCAAAGAATTTACAAAGCACCTGAGGTGAGTGCTTCAATCATTTCCCAAGCTTAAGTGTTAGCTTCGTCTTCTCTTTATGCTTAGAATGCTTTATGACAGATTAAACGCGAGTGAAACAAGGAAACAAGGTTTAGAGTTTGATCAATGTTAGTTTCCTTTGATTGTACAAAGCTCTTTTACTAATCATAGCGCGCACAAAAATCAAATTGTATTCTAAAATGATTTCTAAACATACCTTCGTAATTGAGCATTTTCAACCTTGAATGGCTGTACAGCTTGTTCAATATCTTGTGATGCCGAAGCTGTTTTATCTTTCTCCATTAGATATGGAAGTAGCTTAACAGCATCGTCTATCTCATTCAGCAGACGATCTACTTCCAAGTCACCTGTTAACAGAAACAAGTGATTATGGAAAACGTTTTGAAATGGAACTGGCACTGAGATTTTTGTCAAACTTTGCCTATTGACTGTTTATATTGTAGGAACTTAAATTTGGAAATAAGAATGAGGGGTCCCCATGTTCGTTTAGGAGCAGCAGCACCTTGTTTATACCATATAAATCCTTATAATAGCACCATGATTACAGTCACGATTGCTTGCTAAAATCACGTTTCCGACGATTGTTTCTTGCTCAACACTGAGAATTGGCCGATATTTATTTTACATAGAGAAATTTATTACTCAATTCAACACAACAGAAAAAAAATGATAGGTCACCATACTCGTTTTCGAGAAAATGAGGATTTACCTCTGTGGCGAGGTCCAGCCGCTTAGAAAAAGCCGCCATTTTTTAACGTGCGCGCGCTAATCACGCGTGAAATTATGCGCAGTAGGGATGCGCAATGCAATACTGGGGAATGACCTTAATATAAATGAGGGGCGTTTTTAATAAAGCAATCATTCCACCTGAACTTGTTGGATGTGAGATGATTATGGCCAACGCGCCTCGCTGGTTATCTACCATTTCATATCCAACGCGCGCTCGTGGAGTAATTGTTAAGTATACATTTGTCAAATTAAGATCATTCCCCAGCATTGCATTGCGCATCCTTACTGCGCATAATTTTTGGCATCATTAGCGCGCGTTCGTGTACGCGCACATTGAAAACATGGTGGATTTGCCTTGATATTGAGTTGTCAGTTGAAAAATCGCTATAGCTACCTAACGAGCTCGGGCACCCCATATTTTTTTCCAGTCATTTTAGTCAACTAATCATTAGCTTTGCGTGAGAAAAGACTGATCTGATTTCTATGTTGAAAATTGAATAAATAAGGAAAATAGCAGCTGCACTGTAGTCTTTTCTATTTTGCAGTTTGATAGCCGAGGCAAGCAATTTGGTTCCAATATTTCAACAAGGATTCAGCTGTCTATCAAAATCAAACTTAAAAAGCTTATTTGTGTCCGACACAAGTATTGACTGTAGTTTGAGGCGTGTTTTCGTGAGTCTGGGCTCATAAAGAGTTTACAATAACTTGTAATGCGTTCTTGTAGTAAGCATTATATAACGCTAAAACGGGACATTTTTAATGCCTCGCTGCTCCTTAACGAGCACGGGCCTCCCTTTTTATTTTATAATTAAAGTTCTCATATGATAAATATTCCTTGAACAAAGTTTGAACAAAAATCTACGTGCAACGGTTTTATTTCAGGGGAATTACCTTGAGCTATATCTGCTGGAAGGAAACTTCTGGCATACTTCAAACTTTTTAAGCAATTTGCCTCGTCGTATAATGTGCTGTAACTTGAGTATAGCCTGTTCCAGGCATTCGGTTGGTTGGAAGCAGTGGAAAAAGGCCATCCTCTATGACTCTGTTTTATTTTTTTTTTCCTCTAGCCATTCGTTTGCTTTTTCTCCCCAACCAAGGTTACCTTGAGTATATCAGTGGCTTGTCGAGTGAATACCTTTACTTGCATTACTTGTTCAGTGCACTAGTGTACCGATGCTTTGGGCACCAGTGCACTTGGACAGTGCTTACCTGCGCGCAAACGTCTTGTATTACCTACGCTTCAGACAGAAGAGCGAAGGAAGATTGCAAACTATCCACTGACCTGTACTTCCGAGGAGTGCCCTGAGCTCGTCCACCAGGTACTGAATCATACGAGCCTGGTTTGCAGCAGATGACGGGTGCAGTAGATCCCTAGACCTCGCAGGAGAAGAGCTTGGCCGACCAGAAGGTGATGATGGTGAGCTCAGATGCCTGGTTCTGGTACCCTCAGATGGCCCTGCATTGGGTGAATTGGAGAGATGTTCTAGCCGACCGCCATTTACCAATGGCTCTCCATTGACGAAAGATGAAACTGTCTCAGTAGGTGACACAATTCTGACCCGCTTTTTGGACTCTGAAGTGTCAATTTCCCCTGTTACAGAATCATCAACGGTATGTTTCACATTTTCCTCATCATGTCCTCTTAAGAAATCCGAAGCACCCATAGACTGAGAGTCATCAAGACCATGATCAACAGAAGCATCACTCGGTAACGCTTCTGTCGCAGGAAAACCTGAATAATCCAGACTGCGTCTTGCTGAAGTTCTTTTTGAGCTTGGATTTGCAAGCAGCTCATTTCCAGAGCTCCTTACTGACTGCTCTGTTGAACCTCGTGATGCAGCAGGCCTTTGTACAGTTTGTTTTTGATGGTGACTCTCAAGTTCTTGCATCATAGAGCTTTGAAGTTTGATCTTCTGTTCGGCATGGTGGGTGGGATCTTGTTGTCTCTGAGATGATATTGAAAAACAGGGGGTTGATAAAAAAGAGGAGGCGGAGAGGCCCAGTGGTTTTGGTTCAAATCCTCCTCCCTACCACTATCTGGATTTGTTCTTGGTATTTCCGAGTCAAGTCCCCGACCACGTCATGTAAATACATGTAGCTAATTGGTCAGCCTCCCACCAGTAGGGATTCTTAATAGTTTTTATTTTATTTGCATTTTTCTTTTTAATTTACTGATTTACAGTGTCCCCAAGTAGCACAACAGCGCCATGTTACACGGACCGCTCCACTGAATCAATTGCGCGATGAGCGTCGCTCGACACGCTGTCAAACTTCAACTCGATGCGTGGCGAAATTTTGCGTACTTCCTGGCGAACTAACGTTATGGATCGCGAACATTCGTTGACGTACTGAAAATCCGAGGAAATTTCCCCTTTTGTCCAAGCGAATTATCGCTCGAAAAGCATCGGATTTCCACTAGAATTTTCGCGCGAATTTTCGAAGAACTTTCGCGAGGACAAGAACGAAATTCGCGCATTTCATTTGCATTACTTTTGCACAGTACTGTACAATTGACACTTACATAAAGTTAGTTATTTACTCATTTTTAAACCCTACCAACCTTGGCACCTAAGACGTTTTTGGTAACACACCTGGAGCAGATCATAACGTTGCTTGAGTTGAGTCAGTTCATGTTGAAGTGCTGCTTCTCTTCTCTGCAGCTGCTGATGTCGCTGTCGTTCTTCTGCAGTCAGCACTGGTGTGGAGGATACAAGACGATCATTGTATGCTGTTGATGTTGCTGGATTTTCTTCACGTGGTTTTAACGGTGATGGGCTAACTAGATCAAGTTTCAATCAAACATGACTTTAGAATAAGTAACAAACTCGATGACGTTCAACTTTATACTATCTCCAAGACGTGCAAGGTGGAAAGGTTTCTTCGAGAAATGACATCAAAAAAGGTAGAAAAACTGAGGTGTTCTCGAAGCATTGATTGACTTTTTCTTCAGAGAGTACACATGTACGTGTAGCAGTTTATGCTTGATTTCTTTCTCAAGTTCAGTCTTTGTTCACGAGAGTGTGTTTTGTGAGGAGTGAATTCTCCTTTCCCGAGCGTGGTTGGTAATCAAGCAGGGTTCGTACTCTTTTAATCTTTCAAAATTCCATGACTTTCCATGACCTTTTCCATGACTTTTTTGAGTTTTCCATGACCAAAGTTAAGTAGCTATTCTCATAGTAGTATCAAAACAATCTCTTATTTGACGTATTTTCCAGTATTATAATGAACAAAATTCGTACTTGTGTCTATTTGTACTGAAATTAAAGCCTGTTTCAGACTCATCTGTTGTTTCTTTCGATTTTTTGTCTTTTTGCCTTTTTTATTCTCAGAAAGCATATTGCTTTTCCATGACCCGCACTTAAATCCCATGACTTTCCTTAAATAATAACTTCCATGACCTGTGCGAACCCTGTCAAGCCTATTGATAATTACTGGATTCACCGTAAAATCGATATTGAACCAGGGGCCCGTTTCTGTTAGCTTTTACTCCAGAAGACTCAGAGTGTAAAAAAATAATAGTAAATTAAGAAAAATGCCCAGCTCAACAGATGACCCAACAAAAGTCATTCAAGACCATCAATTTGGTTATGTCTCGCAGATCCCTAACAGTAAAAACTTGTTATACAATAATTATATTTTTTGTACTGCACCTCTGTCATCAGCCTTGGCTGTAGGAATCACAACCTTACGACTCGATGCTTTTGCTCGTTGTGTGTCAACCCTGCCTGGTTTAACTAACAGATGCATGGTTGGACCTGCTCTTTTCATTGCTGACTTGGATGTTTTCCCCACAGCTGTGACCTTAGGCTGTGTTGTGCTGTCTGCAAGACCATAACACTTAGTCAGTGTGTGTGACTAATGTGATCCGCTCAGCGACTTAGGAAACAGAGATCAAAAAACTACATGTATTATCTGTAGTAGAAGCATGCCTTAAAGGTGAGGTTACATGTAAGTCTGCTTTTAGCCAAGCAGTCCATGCAGCCCAAACTTCTCTCGGTTTCCGCACAACAAGGTGCCTAGAAGTATTTCTACTTCCAGGCCCTGAATGAAATGCTAGAAAATTCCACGAAAAAGCTGTGCACAAGTCGATTTAATTTTGTAGTATTGTCATTGCTTTGATCTCCCACATCCTGATCGAAGGAGCCTGTTTCACTGACAAGTCACCCACAAAATTAAATTTAAAAAAATGGAGAATTTGATGACTGCACTAAGGAGGTTTTTGGCAGATTTACAAGCTGAAGATTTATAACAGTGACACAGAGGAATAGTGCTAACAAGACCATAAAGACTGCTCAATTTGAAGGACAGAAACTGAATAATATTACCGATGAGTCTATGACTCAGAACATTTAACAACCAGTGGTATAATATTTCATGTCAACTGGAGTCACATGACTTGTTTAATTTTCAAGCTACATGTGTTTTTTGCAAATTTTAATTTATGTGCTATTTTCCAAAACACGAAAATCATGAACTTTAGTAAGCACTTAAAGTATTAATAATAAGACAGTCAAATTCATGACTCCACTGAAAAACAAAACCACAGCAGATTAGTTTAAATTTAGCCTGAGGAAAAAAAAAAAAACATTCGTCTCAAGCCCATTTAATTGGACCTTCACCATAGAGATACATGTATGTATGAACCTGATAATGACATTCTATTACAGATCTACAACCAGGGCAGTTATTAAGTTTTGAGTCACCTGTACCCTGGCTCTCCACACCTGTAGCAAATGTGTTACTTTGTGGGTGAATTCTATCAACAACAGGTAATTTCACCCATACATGTTGCATGAAAGGAAAATGAAGCATTCACAACTGTAACAGGTGTTATGGGTTATGGCTGCCCTTGATGACAGCCCAGATAACAGCTGTATGTACAAACTCTGATTGGTTGTCGGAAGGGTNTGCCTTCATCCTCATTGTCAAGTATATTTGACAGCAATGCTGCACACCTGTTTAAGCCTCTATTAACTGCAGAAGCCTGTTAAATAAATTCAAAAACCCTGTATCAGAATTTCAGTAATTGAACTGGGTGTAGCTAGTACTGGTAAAGCACCTGTCAGAGAGGAAGACTGACTCACAACAAATTCCTCTGGAGGATCAATTTTTGAAAACTGCCAAGTTGAACATACCGGTAATAGTTGGTGACTCACAACAGAACATCCACCAGACCATAGCACCAGCATGTGCTGGGTTTTATTGAAAGCACTAGGATTTATACATGTACATGCAGGCTTTTTAGCACCAAAATTTAAGGGCTTTGTTTGGACTAATACAGAGGTTTCCACTTTCTTAAACTCTCAGTCTTTCGAACATCCCATGAACTTGAACCAAAAGTCGTTTCCACTATAATTTTATGGCCCATTTTCTTGAAATACCCGATTTTTCAATCCAATAGTTTTGTTTTCCCTGAAGGTACATCTAAAACATTTGGAATACAGTGTAGTTTCAGTTACAATTGCTGAGCAGTAAATATGCATTTATCTGGTTTAATTTATGTTTGACAGACACTTAGCCTAGCTTGCATACCTGGTCTTCAGAGTCTGATGTGTAGAGACTGTAACCAGGTTTAGATTCTCTGACAGCTGTCTTCTGGTGTCCTTTCTGGACTCTTAAAAGTTGGATATAACAGTACAGTTACACAGTGCCTGATCACAGAATTGAACAGATCTCAATTATTTTACATATGGCTGTACTATTATAACGGTAAAGCTGTTTCGAGGAAGGATGTCCAAAGCATATGGGACAATGCTGAAAGGTACATTCTAGTCTTAACAATAAAAGAAATACATGTAAAACAATATTAAATATAGATTTAGCTGAACTCCTGATTACAATAAGTCAACCTGGCTTAAGCCTGAGATCCAAGTGAAAACATGTACCTGGACAGCAGTCAACTTAAAAAAAACATGATTGTGACCCTGATGAGCTCTAAGCTTGAGCCCGCCATTTTGTCACGTGATACTATTCAGCAGATATCCTATTTTGACAGATGTCAATTGACCATAACATGGATGTCCAATATCAAAGATCAAGGCTGCATTTGTTGGTCACTCAGTTATAAGTTTGTGCTTCTATATGCCATTTTGTTTTGTAGAGTGTGACATTTCACATTGGTTTTACATGACTGGGCATATGTACAGATGGACCAACAAATACGTCACAACCAAATCTTATTAGCTCGATGGGTAACCAAATTTTCTAAGCAATGGGGCTGCAGAAGCTCTGCTATCAGAACACACCCTTTATTAAGATAAGAACATGTGTGCTAAAATTGTACTTCTATTAAACAATTAGCATAAATCTACTAGCGTTCTATCATGAATGCCATTCTCTGATTGGCTACGCTACTCACTATACGTATCTATTCTGTGATAGATAGCGAGTAGCGTAGCAGTGTGCCCTTGTTAACAAAATGACAGCCGCTTCTTGGCATTTTCTAAGTGTCTGTGCTGGGGATTTCGATAAAGTTTTGCACAACTAGTAGATTTATACTAAAACAATATTATTAGATTACATGCAAAAAAGTAAGTTTTTTCAGTCGCCCAAAGGCAAAAGTTGGTCGCCTGTGGCACCTGGACATTTCTTGAGCACAGCTCTGGCAGGGTTGATGAATTCCACCTGCGCTTGGGTTTTCACATTGCTTGGGATGCTGCAAATGTTCTTATACCTACATGAGATGCTTTGGCAGTATATCAGGTGAGTTGATCAAGCCATGGTTTGCATATTGGCAAGATGTAATCGAGCAAAAATGCTCTTGAAGAGACCCAAACGAGCCTAATATATGTTGCCAAAGCCTACCGAAAGAGATAGGATTAGGTTTTAACCATTCCCAAATTTTTTCTAGAGGATACCCCATACCAGGACAGTAGACATGACTTCTGATTGGTTAACTGCAAATTTACTATGGTAAATAAAAACTATAGGGGATAATATAAGTTTAATGGTACATAAACTGTACATGTAGCTGTTATCTGAATAATCAATGTCACAAGTCATCGATTATTTTGCAGCCAATAAAAATTGGGTTATATTGAAGCCTAAATGGAAGCTTTATTGCAAGAGGCCAGGAAAACAATTATAAGCTTGAAAGAGTAAGTTACTGGCTATATAATTGACATGACAAAGCAAAAACTTTACTACCTTTTAAACGCCGGTGGCTTAGATTTTGAAGGGAGGCCTCGAGCTACCAAGGATGCCTTGGACGCCTGAAACAAAACAGTGCATTGAGGATTTGAAATAATAAGACTGTGCAAATAAGCTGAAGAACAACATGGCATTGAGCTTATTGTTAGCTTTTGTTTAAACACGCTGATGACTCTCCGACACTTAAATTGGATTAAATCAGATTACCTTTCCTTGCACTCTACTTTTCATTCCCTTCTCTTTGAAATACAAGAGTTTCTTCTCCGTTGGTTTATCGGCGGTTTTTTGCCGCCGTCAACCGCCATTTTGAATTATTTTCCGTGTGTAATGATCCGCTGAGTGGTCAAATGAGCCCGCGCTCTATCCAAGGACAAAATGGCGGACGATCACATCACGCTCGACTCGGTGTTGTTGAAAATTTCGTAAGTTGAATTGCTTTTCTTGTCCCGGTTTCTCTATATAATGGTTAGTGCTGACTTTTTTAAGAAAGCAGCAATATGTGGAGCTGCTGTTTCTGTGATTGGAGCGGCATTCTTTCATCATAGAATACAAGGTGAGCAACGGTCCGGCAATCTTGTCAACACCACGTGGCTGTGGGCAGTGACAGAGAAAAGACTGGCAAGAACGGTTTCCTGCCAGGTTGAAAAATGCGGGCAAACCACAAAGTTTCCGTTAATCAATTAGTTAGTTGAAATCGTTCTTGCTACTATTTGTTCTGTCACTTTCAGACGCCTATCTTTCCAGCTTCTGTATATTGATCATGCACTCAAGACTCTGACTTTCATTAAATGATCAAGTACAACTTGTTATTTTAATGAAAATCAGAATTTTGAGTGAATGACCGATANGGGGGGGTAGAACACTGATGGAAGGAGGGGAGACTGGAGCCAGTCATACAGAGAAGTGTGCACAAGTTTTTGATTGGTAAATGTATTAACAATAATTGACAGTTTATGAAATCAGATTACATAGAAAATGGTGGGAGTTATATGAAAAGCCCTGTTCTCATTGCACACATTCCTTCCCCTTCTCCCTTGCATCTGTAGTCTGCCTTGAGTGCTGTAGCTCTTCCCTGTTTATGCGTGGAATGTAGGCTAGTAGTGCAATGACTTCAACTGGGGTCACCTGGCAGAGTTTTCAAGTCTGTAGCATTAACCTTCAGGTCTAAGGTCTTTCTACTTCTTTCTGGTTGGGATGCTTAACTAGTCCATTGCATGGTTACCCACCCATTTGTAATTTTGGTATAGAAGCATTGTGTGATTAGGAACAAAGCACAATCACCGCATCCAAGGGTTGAGCCAGGGCTGCTTGATCTGGGTGCTATTTTAATATCACAAATAATCTGTTGTTAATTAGATAATATTATTAAAGCAATATTAAAACAGTTGTATGTAGGGTCATGCCAATTTTTTTACCATTTTCGTTTCAGTAAAAATAGCTTCCCAGGACTATTATAAAAAGTCAGTTCAGGCACTGAAAAACCATCAGCTTGCCACAGAAACTATTGGGAAGCCTCTAAGGATTCCTTACATAAATCTTGCAAGGAAAGATATCAAAATTGACCACAAGACTGCGCAGGCAAGTAGAAACTCTTTCAGCGAGTCAAAGTTGCTCCTGAACTATTAATAAATCAAGGATCTTGGTCTCACTCGGGGTGCTTAGGGCAGAATGTCATTATTATTAGCTGTCAAAGTATCATTTAGGGTTCACTCAAAGAGATAACAAATTATTGAAAAACACTCCCATTTCCATGTTTAGGCTCGATCTCTGCCGCTCTCTCTAGTCCAGTCCACTGGCATGGGCTCCTTTTCTGAACAGTGGCTGGTAATCTAGTGATATCTTTTAGGGACGTAAAATAAAGCTTGAGCTATACCCAGACTAGTCTCCGTTAAGGGTTTAATTCAAATTTTGCGACAAGCGCCCCCAACCTTTTCAAATGGGAGTGCCCCTCCAAGGAATTATACCCAAAGGCCTTTGATGATGAATGCATCAAAATAGCCTATTCAAGGCTCTTGGTAGTGTGAGAAAAGAGGGTGAGCAAGGGAAGAAATGACAGGGTACAGAGGTGAGGAAGAGCAAGGAAGGGCCAACAAAGTCCCCTCGTTTTTCCTCTTGCTTGCCTCTTCTTTTTTTGCTCATCTCCAACTACTGAGAGCCTGGAACAGGCTAGTATCAAGAAGAAATATTTATTACATGGTATATTTCTTTGCAGATAGTTATTCCTGTCAGAGGAAGTAAAACAAAAGGAAATTTATTTTCCTTTGCCACCAGGACAGAAGATAAGGGGTAGGTATAATTATAATGCTAATTTAATAATTATCATTATCAGTATTATAGATCAGAGGGAAGGATTGCTAATCCTGCACACCCATGTTGCTTCTCAGTTGTTGGCTGATCGATCCAGGAAACAAAAATATTTAAATTTCTGATAGTGATGGAAACTAATATGTTTAAGTATTTTCAGATGGTCATTAGAAAGAGTTGAGCTTGATGTGGATCATGGCCGACACAGGATAAAAATTGTGCCAGAAGATTGATTGACTTAAATAATGGGAGAGTCCTGTCCTACAGACCTACAGTTCTGTAGTAAACCCTCACCAGTGGAAGGCAATGAAAAGTAAAAGAATCATCATCAACTGCAAGAATCCATGATTTGATATGGAAATAATAATGTTACAGACATCAAGAACAGTAAATGTTGTTTTATCTTACTAAAATTAATGAAGATCAAGAAATTAAATTAAAGCAAGCATTAGCATGAAGGCAGATGAAGTATGCATTATCACTGCAAGACATCATCCAAATCACCTGATGTGAATAAAATATTCCCAACAAACTTTCAAGAACATGCTCAGTGTACAATTACATCCATTGTTAAACTTAAATTATTTATGTTTAACAATGGAGAATACTTTCAACTGTCATGTTCATTTTGGAATCTTAAATGCGCAAGCATTTTTAAACTTATTTCAGTAAACAAAGACAATTCACAGGGTTTTTTGTCCCCTAGTTTTATTCGGTATCACAATCCATCAGCTACTGTGTACAAAACACAGAAATAGTACATAACTGTAAAATACTTTCTCTAGTCATAGTGCAGTAGCTGGAAAAACTAACAACATTGCCGTGGTCAGTAAAACTCTCTTTACATACATACGTTTATTCCACGTCCCCAAGGGTCTTTTCAGTGAAATATGTAACAAACAACACTTACTCGTTTCTTTTATGATTGTAAAGATTATTTAGGAATCTAAATTTTAGTTGTTGTTGTTGTTGTTTGACTTTTGATCCACTGATGATAGTCAACTTGTGAAGTCTGCAAAGTTGTCAATAAGATTTAGATTATCTTACTGCGTTTACTTTGATTGTATATCTTTCCTGTTGCTGTTTAAAATATCAACTTTGTCAAATTCCTATCAAGCATTTCAAACTTCGTTTTAAGAGCAACACATCTTTGTACTGGTGAACTTAAGAGAGATGGAGTCATGTTTCGACCCATCCACGCAATATTCACGTGGTTTTTTTAAAAATTTGTGTTCCTCCTACCTACTCGTTTTAGTTGTCACATTTAAAGATAAACAAAGTATTAGGGAACAGCTAACAAAACAGCCTCACTGCATGAAAGGACTAGAACTATCTGAGTGTGTGTGTGTGTGTGTGTGTTTTTTTTTTTNGGGGGGGGGGGCAAATAATGATACCACCCCACTATTCCTTTACCCAAAAGCCACCCCCTACCCACATAGTTACGACACCTTGTCTGTTAGGTAACAGCTAACAAACAAGCTTCACTGCATGAAAGGACAAGAACTATCTGAGTGTGTGTGTGTGTTGTTTTTTTTTTT